GCACTATTCACAATAGCCAAGACTTGGAAACAACCGAAATGCCCATCAGTAGACAACTGGATTAAAACTGTGGCACATTTATACAATGGAGTATTACTCCGCTATAAAGAAGAATGAAATCGTACCATTTGCAACATATGGATGGACCTAGAGACAATTATGTTAAGTGAAATAAGTCAGTCAGAGAAAGACAAATACCATATGATTTCACTTATATGTGGAATCAAAAACTGAATGGACAAGCAAAGTAAACAGAAATAGTCTCAGAGATATAGAGGAACAACTGATGGTCGCTAGTTGGGAGGGGGGTGCGGATGAGGGAGAAGGGGAAGGGATTAGACAGCATAAATACATAACTACAATATTGCCACAGGGCCATGAAAGACAGTTCGAGGAATATAATTAATAATGTTACTAGTATTTTGACACTCTAAAATCAAAGGAGAGAAAATTGTAAAACTCCTGATTATCTAACTTAATAAAGACATAACTACTGTATCATCATCGTCGTCATCATCATCACCAACTAGAGAAAAAAATATTTTTTAATATATAAAAGCCTTTTCAGTACGAGGATTCGCCAAACTGAAGCACCCCAGCCATCGCAGTCTATGAGGAATGAAGCATCAGTGTGCCCCTTTTTCTGATGTGAAAACTGAGGAAACCGGCAACCGAACGATGACAGAATGTCCCACATCAGATGTACTTATTCCTAATGTGAGGGACTGTCGCTTTTTCGAAGTGTTACCCATGAAAAGGAAATAATCTGATAAAGCTGGCGTGGCACAGGGAAATGAGAGGGGAAGAGTGGTAGGGAGCCGGGATGGGCGACGGTCAGTGATGGTGATGGTGATGGTGATGGTGATGGTGACGGTGGTGATGATGGTGATGCCCGCCGGCTCCTCTCCCGTTTCTCCATCACTGCCTGTCCTCTGCCTCCTCCGTCCCCTCGTGGCCTCTGCCCAGAGAGACACAGCCGACAGGATTTGCACCCAAGCCGCACGTCTGCGGGCGCAAGGCTGCAGCGCCCTGCGAGCCAGCTCTCCTGCCCGAGCCCCGCAGCCCCGCAGCCCCGCGCTCCCCGCGCCTGCACTGCCTTGCCCCGCGACCCCCCACAGCCCCAGGCCGTGCGCGACGGGACGTCTTGGGGCCCAGCATCCCCCGCAGGGAGCGCCCCGATCCTCGGCCCGCTGCCCGCCGAGCTCCCCGCCGCGGCCCGGCCGCGGGTCACTTACGCCTGTGCTGGGCCCCGCCGCCCGGCAGCCCCGAGACAAAGGCTACGCGGCCGCTGCGCCGCTGGCTGCTCCTCGAGCCGCGACTGCCAGGGACCCGGAGGTGGATGGAGGGCGGGGACGGGGAGATGAGGAGGAGGGAGAGGAGGGGGAGGGGAGTGGGGGAGGGGCTGCAGCAGCGCAGGCCACCTGGCGGCCGCGGCCCAGACCCAAGCCACCTCCCCCGGCCCGCCACCCTCCAGGGCGCTGTCTCCCGGGTCCTCAGCCCGAAACCCTTCCCCGAGGGACCAGTGTACCGCCCCTAGTGGGGCGGGGTGAGAGGAAGAGGAAGGGAAGGAGGAAGGGAGACGCGTGGTGTTCATTCCTTCTTCCTCATCACCATCGGCTCCATCCACCCCCGCGTTCCCCGAGCAATCTTAGGAAAATGCCAGACTCTGCCTCACCTGTGCAACTCTGGACGTGCCCACCTACCTCCTTTCCATCCTCCCACACGTCACCTGACGGTCCAGACGTTTTAGGAAGAGCAGAGCTGCCCCGGGGGAGGTTAAGCCAGACCCGGGGCTAGTGAGAGGCAAGCGAGAAAGGAGAACGCCAGGATCCGGAGCTCTGGGAGAGGGACGCCCACCTCTTGCTGGTTTCCTTCCTAGCGAGATGGATCAAGGTTGGAGGGTGGAGAAGAGCCCTTGCCACCCTCCACAGCCCGCGGGGAGTCCGGTAGGCTTTCCGTTGTGGGGGAAGTAACACTTCTGCTTGTCTCAGTTTTTTGCATCTTGTTATGAATAGTCGCTTCGATTTATTTTTATCTTTAAAACTTTTTTATTATGGAATTTTTTAAAAAGTAGAGAGAATAAATAGTATAATGAACCCACAAGTACTGAGCTCCAGCTTCAAAGGTTTTCAACATTTCTTTCTTTCTTTATTACATTTATTGAGATGACATTGGTTAATAACATTATATCAATTGCAGGAGTACAACATTATAATTTGACGTCTGTGTACTAATTGCGTGCTCACCATGCAAAGCCTAGTCGCCTTCCGTCATTATATGTTTGAACCCCTTTACCCACTTCACCCTCTCCCGACCCCTTTCTCTCTGGTAACCACCATTCTGTTGTTTGTGTTGATGAGTTTATGTTTGTTTGTTTTTTGCTAGTTTGTTTATTACTTTTTTGTTTTATAGTCTACATATAAGTGAAATAATGTTTTTTGTCCATTTGCATCTGACTTGTTTTACTTAGCGTAATACCCTCAAGATGCATCCATGTTAACTAAAAAAAAAATAAAATCTATCCATGTTGCCGGCAAATGGCGCTATTTCACTGTTTTATCCTTTTTTATAGCTGTGTATACACATACACACACACACACACACACACACACACACACGCTACGTCTTCTTTATCCATTCATCTGTCAATGGACACTTGGGTTGTTTTCATGTCTTGACTATTGTAAATAATATTGCAGTAAACATAGGGGTACGTATATCTTTACAAATAAGTGTTTTCATGTTTTTTGGTTAAATACCCAGAAGAGGTTAGTTACATTCTTAATTTTTAAAGGAAACTCCATGCTGTTTTCCGTGATGGCTGCACTCCATTCTTCTGCTTCCCCCTTTCTCCCTATCACAGAGGCTAAGGACTTTTTTTAAAAACATCATCGCAATATCACCACCACAACTTACAAAATCAAGAATAATTCCTTAATGTCAGCTGACTATGATTTATGAACCGCGGATGGTTATTTCTTGAGCAGTTATGATTTGCCAGGTCTATGTTTAGTGCTTTATCTATGTTGCTCAGCTTTGGTGAGGGTCCTAGTTTTGTCTAAAGCTAGTGCTAGACAAGAGTTGTGACAAATCGCTGCTGGCCTGCAGTAGCTGAAGGAGCATTAGAGAACACTAAGCAACCAAGGGCCAGACACTCCTTACTGTGTCTCAGACCTCCTGAAGATTATGACTGAAGCCTATCCTTCCAGGAAAATCATGCACAGAATTTTGATTTACATTCCAGGGGTTTCAATCCAATTCTCACAGGCCATCTGAACCCAAGTGCAGCTTACGAATTGCAGGGCGGAACTGAGGTGTCCCTTGTGGCCCCTTGGAGTCCCCATGGGTGGGATCCTCAGGATTCTGCTGGCCTGGCCCTCATCAGGAGAGCTGGCTTTCCCGCTGGTTTCCCAGGGGTTCTGAGGCCTGAGAGCAGCAGGAGAGCCAAGCCAGAGCAGGCCTTCTTTTCTTGGGAAGAAGCTCTGTGTTTAAGACCCACGCAAGCACCGTCTGGAAATGGACTCGCAGCTGTACCTTCGAATAGCATCTTTCCAGAGTGATCTCCTGTGCCCAGGGTATCTGGACACTCAGCTTACCTAAACCCTCCAGCAGCAGAGCTAAGGTGTGTCCATCGGTATGTGGCTTTGGGAGCACAGTTAAGAGGTAGCGCCGCAGAGCAGTCAGGATGCAGGCTCTGACTCAGATGGCCTGGCATTGAATGCTTCGCCTCCTGTTAGGCTTATGACTTTGACATCCCTGTGCCTGTTTCCTCATCAAGACAAGAATGGGGTTGTCATTCGAACCTGTCTACTTGGGCTGCCAGAAGGTATTTTACATGTCCAGCACCTGGCACAGAAAGGTGTTTTGGAGCAGTCATGCTGCTTGTACCTGTAAGTGGGAGGAGCACAGTAATTTACACCCAGAAGGACCACTGCTTCAGAGGAGTCACAGCTTACCTGAAGCAGACAGAAAGAACCCAGGCCCGCTCCCTGGTGCAGTAGGAGCAGAGAGTGCACATGACAAAGTGCCTCTTCTCTCCTTGACAGAGGTCCGGGACGGGGGTGCAGGTGCTTACCAGAGGCCACAGTGCAATTCCCAAATCCTGTGGGTTTCCTTAGTGACATGGCTCCAGGAAATGACCTTTGAGATGCTGAAGGAAAGTGTTCGCTCTCTGTCCACTCACCCCAGCAAACTGGTCTCAGTTAACGGAATATGGTGGCCCCTCTTCTGCTTCCCCAAGCCTCCCAGCCTCTGTGAAGTCGCCCCTGAGCTCTTGGGCCTGCCCTGTATTAGTGATCAGAGCTGTGGGTTGCTGGACATGTTGTGGCAGCCTAGCTAGACTGAAGTGTACTGAGAGTTGGGATCCTAACCAGCATGTCAGCATTCGCATAACATCCCCATAACATCCTGTGTATTGCCAGAGCCAGCACTGGTGCAAAGAATACTTCCTATAATGTCCACACAGATGATAGACCATCCTCCCAAGGCTGTTCGACCCATCCCAGGATTTCTATGTCCTGTAGCCAGCCCTGCAACTAGCACAGGTGACTCAAACCTGCAACTAGCACAGGTGTCTCAAACCTGCACACCTGCCAGTCCTTCCACGGAGCAGGGCAGGGCCTGAGGAGGAAGGGACATGCTCCTGGGCTGGGGCATCCCAATCGCACTGTTTATGACGCTCTGATTCTGAATCTACCTGCTGGTCTCCATGTTTTCATCCCTGAAATGGAATGAAATAGTTCCTTCCCATGTCCTGGCTCTGGATTTCAGTGACCTTTTATTCCTGAAGAGAACCAACCTTTCTCACCTCTCTTCCGCTTCCCTCCCCTCACTTACAACTCTCTTTTCCTTTCCTACCACACAATATGGATTTTATTGATTTTTTAAACCACATGATGTACTTTGCCTGTATCAATTAGGGATGATGTAGTTGAATAAAATCAAGACTGAAGCTTTTGTACAATGAGATGAACAGATGAAATATAGTGCCCAGTTTTACTATGGGGAGAAGTGCCAAACTGTAGGTCTTCTTACAGAACATAGAATATTCTAGGGATACTCTGACCTTATGGGTCTTCTTGGGAATAAATTTACCAAAGAGCCCTAGGGTTAAGACAAAACAAAACAAAGAACGTTATTAGCATCCATTTGTTCTTTGTGGCCAATCTGACACTCTGTGCCAGCTCTGAGAAAGAACTCTATAAACTATTAACATGACAAAAAACTTTAGTCATGATAAAGAAATAGACTTTAGGTTAGCTAAATGGAAGGCCATACAAATGTGAAAGGACAGCTTGCAGTGATGAATGGATTCAACTGGCTATAAAGATCAACTTACAGAAGATTAATAGAAGGGGAAATGTATAATATCAGGGCTTCCAGCTGTTGAAGAATGCTAAACTTATTGACTTGGAAGATAAGCTGAGATAAAAGACATTCAGTCCAAATGGAGAGAAAATACTTTAAGATAAGCCTAATGCTAGCAACTAGATTAAGGCAGTAAATATAACTGTGGTTCCAGCCCATTTACTATTATAGAGACTACAGATCATTATAATGAACAGAAGATTATTAGCACAAAGTGCCCTATGCATCACACAGAATTCGAGCCACTCGCCCACATCAAAGGAAATCCAGTTGTCCCACCAAGGAAGATTTCACACACTGGTTGAAAACTAAGAAAATTGAGACCATCATATGGGGTGGCTTTAAAATATCAAGAGGAGGGTTCTATGTCCCCTCCTCTTGAATCTGGATGGGCTTGGGACTGCTTCAGCCACTAGAGGACGGCAGAAGCTGGTCATATAGGATCTTCTGGGAGCAGATAAAAAGCATGCAGCTTCCAATGGGCTCGTTTGGAATGCTTACCCTCCAAGGCTTCCTCCTGGGATATGCCCACTGAGAACCCAGCCACCAGCAGGGGGAGGCCCAGGCCACATGGAGAGGTGCTCAGGTCAACATTCCCAGCCTTTGAGGCTCCTCAGCCCAAACCCCAGATGTGTAAATGAAGTCACCTCCAGCTGTTTGAATCTTTCCAGCTGGAACTTCAAACATCATGGAGAAGAACTCCAGTCATCCCCTCAGTGTCCTGTCCAAATGCCTGACCCCCAAATTTTGTGAGCATAATAAAATGCTTGCTTAGTGCCACTAAGTTTGAGTCATTGTTGCGTAGCAACAGATAACAGGAATATCAAACAGTAAGCAAAAATAGGCCAGAGACAGTGAGACAGAACTTGCCTTCAAAAAGCTTACAGTTTACAGGGATCAGTGGGACGTATGCTGAGCAAGAAGGTTGGGACTCACTGAATTCCAGGCTGTACTCTGCCTTTCCTAGCTGTGTGGCCCTGGGGAAGTCATCGTCTCTGTGCCCGGTGTCCTCATCTATAAAATGACAGCAGCGTCTGCTTCACAGGTGGGCTGTGAAGAGTGAATACAGACACAGGACAAAGGGCTCCTGAACATGTTTCAAGAAAAGGAGGTGCATGTAATGGAACTGATTAATAGGCCCTACGGTTTTATAATGAGTTCGCAACAGCTTCCTTTAAGTCCAAGTTTTACCATCTTTTTTGGACTGTGACCCACAGTAAGAAACGCATTTCTTCTTGTGACCTAGTATGCACAGCACCTACCTCTATCAAAAACACAGCATCTGCCTGTACAAAAACCACATCAAAATTTTTGTGAAACAGTATTTGCCCGTATTATGTGCAATGTACTCTGATATTTTCTATTCTGTTGTATTTAGTTTTTCAAAATCCACTAAATTGATTTCCTAACCTGCTGGATGGGTCCAAATCTACAATTTGAAAAGCAGTGCCTTATCTAACAGTTTTCCTATGGTTTCCTTGTCCTAAACGTTTTGTTGCTTCTTCCTTTGTTCATCTAAGTCACTCTCCACTTCCACTTCCTGGTCTACTGCCTCCCGTCCTGATGGGCAATTT